CGCTGTATAGATTCCTGAGCCTATTCGGCTCAATCATATGTATATATAAAACTGTGTATGGAGTCTGCCTCCATCACATCACTGCCTAATGAATACCATTTTTTAACTATGACACTAAAAAGGTTCTTTCTAATATCTCTGTGGCTCATTTGGGTACTCAGTTTCCACCTGTGTCCCCTTGTGCGTGTACACCCTATGTTAAATAAATTTAATTTATCTACCCAATCAATTCCTCTGAGAATCTTGTATGTGGTCACCAACCACTTGGGCTGGACGGTAGAGAGAGTGATTGTGAATGTGAGTGAATGTATTAATGAACACACATGCCTACATATGTGTATTCGTATATGTGATACCAACATATGAAAGAAAGCGAACAAATATATATATATATATATATATATATATATATATATATATATATATATATATATATATATATATATATATATATATATATATATATATATATATTTTTTATTTATTTTTTTTTTTGAAGGAACTGGGTTCTAGGCTCATTGAAACAACAAGGGACCCGAGAGCTGCAAGCTTTCTTTTCCAGCGCCTCAGTGTGGCGATACAGAGGGGAAATGCGCACTGCATCCAGGGTTCCTGCCCGCCATCTGAGGAGCTGGAGGAACTCGACAACCTATGACAACCATCTTTGTAACCTATATGTAACTCCTTTTTTGTAACAAAGTTCAAATAAAGTAAATATATATGTGTACATACAAAAGAATGGGGGTGGTAGGAGAAGATAATATTAGTGTTCAGTGAGAAACCACAAGGTCTCCTCTGAATACTTTTTATTTTCTTCTCCGAGGCTATGGGTCCCCACATTGGCACCAGAGGTGGTACCCTCACAAACTTTAAAAAAAAAAAAAAAAAAAAAAATATATATATATATATATATATATATATATATATATATATATATATATATATATATATATATATATATATATATATATATATATATATGTATATATATCAACGATATATCATATCGCTATATCAATATATCGAGAATCTGAGGTGTACAAAGCAGCCATGTCTTTCCCAACAGGTTCAGCAGAGGGCTTCACAGGCCTAAGACCCCAGCACATCAAACAAATGCTGAACGCGGTGCTTGGAGATGCGGCCAAGTACTAGTGGAACTTACCCGATTCTCCAACATGTGTTTGGCTGGTGGCATCCCTGAGGACATCAGGCCTCTCTTTTATGGAGCAGCACTCTGTGCTCTAAAGAAGAAGGATAAGGGTATCAGGCCCATTGCCGTTGGCAACACCCCTCCGACGCCTCGTAGCTAAGGCTGCAGTGAGATCTATCATCCAGGAAGCAGTCATCTTGCTGAAATTTAATCAGCTCGGGTTTGGGATCCCTCTAGGCTGTGAAACAGCAGCACATGCAGCACGGGCTTACATTGCTAATCTCCCGGCCCAGAAGGCACTAGCATTTCCGTCCCCTTTACTCATTCATCCGATCGTGCTACAGTGGAGACTAAGATTCTTTATGGGGAGCATGAAATTGACTCCTGTGAAGGAGTCCAACAAAGTGACCCCTTAGCCCCCCTCCTTTTCTGCTTAGCTATCAAAGAGGTCACTGACAGTCTGACAAGCGAGCTGAACATCTGGTACCTGGATGATGGTCACGGATACCATTTTGGAGGATATAAGGAAAATCCAGGAGCAAGGAGCAGCCTTGGGCCTCATCCTCAATGCATCCAAATGTGAAATAGTCTCCGGCAACCCAGACATCACTGGCCAAATAAAAAATGTTCTTCCAGACATTCTAGTTGTCGAGTCACCGGACTGTACCCTCCTGGGGGCCCCCATTGGCCCACAAGCAATCGAGGAGGTCCTGGATGCAAAAATCACTGATCTAAAGAGAATGCTGGACAGGATTGACAAGATTGATGCTCAAGATGCTCTCTTCCTCCTCACAAGATGCCAATCTCTCCCTAAGTTGACCTACTTTCTGAGGTGTTCTCCATCCTACAACAGCCCTAAATTAAATGTGTATGACACCCTTCTGAGGGCCATGCTGGTGAAAGTCCTGAACCTGCCATTGGACGACTCTCAGTTCGAGTAAACAACCCTCCCTGTAAGACTTGGCGGCCTTGGTGTCCGCACAGCCTCCCAGATTGCTCTACCAGCCTTCCTTTCCTCCTCCCATGCATCGCATGACTTCGTAAGAGATATCCTACCAGAACCCCTGAGTGATTCAGCAGGAATAAACGATCCTGCTTTCACCGAATGTTCAATGAATGATGCTCTTACAGCTCCAGCACCCATTATAGAGCCAACAAAAAAAACATAAACAGTCCAGCTGGGACCACCCACTAGTGAAAAAAGTAGCTGATGCCATGCTCAGCGCCGCAACATTGCGGAAGCTCAAAGGGCTGGCATGCAAGACACAACGAGGTCAATGACATCATCAAGAGGAGCTTCGTCTCAGCTCAGTGCCCAGCAGAGAGAGAACCTTGCATCCTAGGGGACCAAAACCCGGATGACCCCGCACTTCGCCTTGATGGCATCACTATATACCCTTGGAAAATAGGCAAACAGTTGGTGTGGGACTACACATATCCATCCTGGCTGACACCTACGTTCACCTCGGTGCTGATCAAGGAGGTGGGCCGGCCAACCACAGGGAAATAGCAAAATCAACCAAGTACAGGCGATTGGAAGGTCAATACACCTTTGTTCCCATAGCGTCTGAGACGCGTGGCCCCTGGGGTAAGAGTGCCTTGGGATTTCTCAAGGAATTGGGCTCCAGACTCATTGACGTCCCCTGAGACCCTAGGGCTGCCAGTTTATTGTTTCAGCGCCTCAGTGTGGCGATCCAGAGGGGAAATGCCTGCTGCATCCTCGGTTCCTGTCCTGAAGCAGAGGAGCTTCAAGAGATTCATAACCTTTAAGCACTTTTTCTATCAACCAATGTATATCTTGTAACCATTAAATTTTTTTTTTTATTAATACATGAGGTACATCTGCATTAGTGCAGCTGCCCTAGACTATATCTATATAAAGTGGAGTACAGTGTGTCAAAAAAGCTAACTAGGTGATGCTAAAAAATCCCCATCACACAGGATGGTTAGTCATACAGAGGCATGTGATGGGCAGTCTGCACTGGCAGACTCCAGAAGCATTTTAAGGATATCATCAACACAAGATTGAATAAGGTAGCAGTGGTAATAAAAGTCCCCATCTCGCAGGATGGTTAGTCATACAGGACCATATGTTTAGTAGCCTGTACTGGCAAATTTTGGGTACACTGTGAGGATATCTTCAAGAATACGAGAATGAATAAAGTAATTGCAAAGCTCCAAGTACCTCATATATATATAATATATTAAGTTTATAACACGTAGCTCTACGGATCTGTCATGCCACATTACACTTACTCGGATGCCTCTCAATTTTCAGACTCCGTGTTGAAAGACTTCGTGCATTCGAGTGCAGATGCGCCCCCCTTGCGCTTACCTAACACCGCTTACCAAGCACTGTATAGGAGGAGGTAGTGAGGTCGAGCTCTATCTCTGCTCCGCCCACTCTCCTTGGCGTAGCTAATGCGTCATTGCCTGTCTTAAGGTGTGAGGCTTGTCGAATCTGCACTTAAAGATTTATATGTGAGGGTTGGTATAGGTTATGGTGGAGAAGCGTGTGAAGATCTGCACGATATATGACGTGCGTATAGTGTGTGCATGGTGGTGGTGTGTGTATAGTGTGCGCATGGTGGTGGCGTGCGTATAGTGTGCGCATGGTGGTGGCGTGTGTATAGTGTGCGCATGGTGGTGGCGTGCGTACAAATTGGCGTAACGTGTGGGAACGGTGACGGGGGAATAAGGAGTAAGAATAAAGGTGCGAATATGAGGAGGTGGAAGAGGAGGGGGAAGAAGACGGGGGAAAAGGAGGGGAGGGTGGAGAAAGAGGAGGGGGAAGAGAAGGGGGAAGGATAGAGGATGAGAGTAGGGGGCGGGAGGGAGGGGGTGAAAATGAGGGTGAGGGGAGAGATAAGGAGACAGAAGGAGGAAAAAGGGAGAGAGAGATACTTGGTAGAACTTAACAATGGTGAGAGGTAATCCTCTCAACTTTTAGATGAAAATCTGTGAATGAGGGGGGGGGGGAGGGGCGAGTGATCCTAGCACTGGTGGATGATCCTAGCACTGGTGGATGATCCTAGCACTGATGGATGATCCTAGCACCCACCAGTGCTAGGTGGTAAATACTGTTTCTTTGCCCCACATTGCTATGGGATGTATACCCACACATACTCGGGAAATACATAAATATATATATGGATGAATACAGTACGAATACAGTCTACACGAATTCGTTCTAAATCGTGAGATTCTCTAATAATTAAAATCTAAATTCTGCAGATATTAATGATTGACTGTTTTTTTGTTATACAAATCTTTTTCAAAGCTCTTCGCACTAAGCGCCAACATTTTGGACAATTTTCTGACAATGCACTTTGAATTGTTTTTTTTTTTAACTTGCTCATAAATGATATATGTGACATTTTTTTGTTAATTTCTCGAATATTTAGTATAGATTGATAAGTAAATTTGTCCGTAAAGTAACTAAATTCAAAATACACTTTGATTTCCGTGGCAGTCATTCATCTTTCGAGAATATCAGGAGAACTTGATGAGCTTTAATAGTGTTGAAAAAAAATTTACTTAAGTGGAATTCAATTGAATTCCACTTAATTAATTAATTCCCCTGATTACTGTGCTAATCAGCGATGTCCCAGCTGAGATATATATACTACATATAGGCTTAAAAGTTAGGGTGTTGATGAGCTTAAGTAATTGAAAAGGAGGGGATGGAGGGAAGGGGGAAGGGGAAGGGGGAAGGGGCAAGGAGGAAGGGGAAGGGGAAAGGGGAAGGTCAAGGGGGGGAAGGGAAAGGGGGTCAGAATGTCCTTGTAGCGAGGGGCGACGAGGGACGTATCGGAGGCCAGGCGGAGGGTTGGGAAAGGTGGTGGAGCTCAGTGTGCCTGTGGCAGTGGTGCGGGCAGGACGTCGTGTGGGTGGACGCTTTCTCTTCCCTCACTCGACATCCCTTCGTAAGGTAAACTTCACTTCTAATAATCTCTTTTTAAGATTTACAGCTATGAATTTTAAAAGGGTTTATTTCTGTATTGCAATCTCTATATGATTCAATGAAGGTTAATCTCGTTTTTTTTTTCTAAGTAGTTTGAATTACAAGTTTGGGAGAACTGTAACCCAATTCTCAAGTTATTCCTAAATAACTTTCGTCATCGGTCTTGAGTTTAAATGTTTGTTTTAAATTCTTTGTATATTTATTGGGCTTAACATCGCAACTGAAGAAAATTAGAACATCGTGCAGCAATGCTCAGCCTGGCGGCAGCCTGGTCACTGTGGGGGCGGCCTGGTCTCTGTGGGGGCGGCCTGGTCACTGTGGGGTCGGCCTGGTCACTGTAGGGGCGGCCTGGTCACTGTGGGGGCGGCCTGGTCTCTGTGGGGGCGGCCTGGTCACTGTGGGGTCGGCCTGGTCACTGTAGGGGCGGCCTGGTCACTGTGGAGGCGGCCTGGTCACTGTGGAGGCGCCCTCGTCACTGTGGAGGCGGCCTCGTCACTGTGGGGGCGGCCTCGTCACTGTGGGGGCGGCCTGGTCACTGTGGGGGCGCCCTCGTCACTGTGGAGGCGGCCTGGTCACTGTGGAGGGGGCCTGGTCACTGTGGAGGCGGTCTGGTCACTGTGGAGGCGGCCTGGTCACTGTGGAGGCGGCCTGATCACTGTGGGGGCGGCCTTGTCACTGTAGGGACAACCTCGTCACTGTAGGGGCGGCCTCGTCACTGTGGGGGAGGCCTGGTCACTGTAAGGGCGGCCTCGTCACTGTAGGGGCGGCCTCGTCACTGTAGGGGCGGCCTCGTCACTGTAGGGGCGGCCTCGTCACTGTGGGGGCGGCATCGTCACTGTGGGGGCGCCCTCGTCACTGTAGGGGCGGCCTCGTCACTTTGATGGCGGCCTCGTCACTTTGATGGCGGCCTCGTCACTGTAGGGGCGGCCTCGTCACTGTGGTGGCGGCCTCGACACTGTGGGGGCACCCTCGCCACTGTAGGGGCGGCCTCGTCACTGTGGAGGCGGCCGGGTCACTGTGGGTTCGGCCTCGTCACTGTGGAGGCGGCCTGGTCAATGTGGGGGCGGCCTCGTCACTGTGGAGGCGGCCTCGTCACTGTGGAGGCGGCCTGGTCACTGTGGGGGCGCCCTCGTCACTGTGGAGGCGGCCTCGTCACTGTGGGGGCGGCCTCGTCACTGTGGGGGCGGCCTCGTCACTGTGGGGGCGGCCTCGTCACTGTGGGGGCGGCCTCGTCACTGTAGGGGCGGCCTCGTCACTTTGGGGGCGGCCTCGTCACTGTGGGGTTGGGCTCGTCACTGTGGGGGCGCCCTCGTCACTGTGGAGGCGGCCTCGTCACTGTGGGGGCGGCCTCGTCACTGTGGGGGCGGCCTCGTCACTGTAGGGGCGGCCTCGTCACTTTGGGGCGGCCTCGTCACTGTGGGGGCGGCCTCGTCACTGTGGGGGCGCCCTCGTCACTGTGGAGGCGGCCTCGTCACTGTGGGGGCGGCCTCGTCACTGTGGGGGCGGCCTCGTCACTGTGGGGGCGGCCTCGTCACTTTGGGGGCGGCCTCGTCACTGTGGGGTTGGCCTCGTCACTGTGGGGGCGCCCTCGTCACTGTGGAGGCGGCCTCGTCACTGTGGGGGCGGCCTCGTCACTGTGGGGGCGGCCTCGTCACTGTGGGGGCGGCCTCGTCACTGTAGGGGCGGCCTCGTCACTTTGGGGGCGGCCTCGTCACTGTAGGGGCGCCCTCGTCACTGTAGGGGCGCCCTCGTCACTGTAGGGGCGGCCTCGTCACTGTAGGGGCGGCCTCGTCACTGTCGGGGTGGCCTCGTCACTGTGGGGGCGCCCTCGTCACTGTAGTGGCGGCCTCGTCACTTTGGGGGCGGCCTCGTCACTGAAGGGGCGCCCTCGTCACTGTAGGGGCGCCCTCGTCACTGTAGGGGCGGCCTCGTCACTGTAGGGGCGGCCTCGTCACTGTCGGGGTGGCCTCGTCACTGTGGGGTTGGCCTCGTCACTGTGGGGGCGCCCTCGTCACTGTGGAGGCGGCCTCGTCACTGTGGGGGCGGCCTCGTCACTGTGGGGGCGGCCTCGTCACTGTAGGGGCGGCCTCGTCACTTTGGGGGCGGCCTCGTCACTGTAGGGGCGCCCTCGTCACTGTAGGGGCGCCCTCGTCACTGTAGGGGCGGCCTCGTCACTGTAGGGGCGGCCTCGTCACTGTCGGGGTGGCCTCGTCACTGTGGGGGCGCCCTCGTCACTGTAGTGGCGGCCTCGTCACTTTGGGGGCGGCCTCGTCACTGAAGGGGCGCCCTCGTCACTGTAGGGGCGCCCTCGTCACTGTAGGGGCGGCCTCGTCACTGTAGGGGCGGCCTCGTCACTGTCGGGGTGGCCTCGTCACTGTGGGGGCTGCCTTGTCACTGTAGGGGCGCCCTCGTCACTGTAGGGGCGCCCTCGTCACTGTAGGGGCGGCCTCGTCACTGTAGGGGCGGCCTCGTCACTGTCGGGGTGGCCTCGTTACTGTGGGGGCGCCCTCGTCACTGTAGGGGCGGCCTCGTCACTTTGGGGGCGGCCTCGTCACTGAAGGGGCGCCCTCGTCACTGTAGGGGCGCCCTCGTCACTGTAGGGGCGGCCTCGTCACTGTAGGGGCGGCCTCGTCACTGTCGGGGTGGCCTCGTCACTGTGGGGGCGGCCTTGTCACTGTAGGGGCGCCCTCGTCACTGTAGGGGCGGCCTCGTCACTGTAGGGGCGGCCTCGTCACTGTCGGGGCGGCCTCGTCATTGTGGGGGCGGCCTCGTCACTGTAGGGGCGCCCTCGTCACTGTAGGGGCGGCCTCGTCACTGTAGGGCGGCCTCGTCACTGTCGGGGCGGCCTCGACACTGTGGGGGCGCCCTCGTCACTGTGGGGGCGGTCTCGTCACTGTAGGGGCGGCCTCGTCACTGTAGGGGCGCCCTCGTCACTGTAGGTGCGGCCTCGTCACTGTAGAGGCGGCCTCGTCACTGTAGGGGCCGCCTCGTCACTGTAGAGGCAGCCTCGTCACTGTAGGTGCGGCCACGTCACTGCGGGGGCGCCCTCGTCACTGTAGGGGCGGTCTCGTCACTGTAGGGGCGGCCTCGTCACTGTATGGGCGGCCTCGTCAGTGTAGGGGCGGCCTCGTCACTGTAGGGGCGGCCTCGTCACTGTAGGGGCGGCCTCGTCACTGTAGGGGCGGCCTCGTCACTGTAGGAGCGGCCTCGTCACTGTAGGTGCGGCCTCGTCACTGTAGGGGCACCCTCGTCACTGTAGGGGCGGTTTCGTCACTGTAGGGGCGGCCTCGTCACTGTAGGGGCGGCCTCGTCACTGTGGGGGCGGCCTCGTCACTGTAGAGGCGCCCTCGTCATTGTAGGGGCGGCCTTGTCACTGTAGGGGCGGCCTCGTCACTGTGGGCGTGGCCTCGTCACTGTGGGCGTGGCCTCGTCACTGTGGGGGTGGCCTCGTCACTGTCGGGGTGGCCTCGTCACTGTGGGGGCGGCCTTGTCACTGTAGGGGCGCCCTCGTCACTGTAGGGGCGGCCTCGTCACTGTAGGGGCGGCCTCGTCACTGTGGGGGCGGCCTCGTCACTGTGGGGGCGGCCTCGTCACTGTAGGGGCGCCCTCGTCACTGTAGGGGCGGCCTCGTCACTGTAGGGGCGGCCTCGTCACTGTCGGGGCGGCCTCGACACTGTGGGGGCGCCCTCGTCACTGTGGGGGCGGTCTCGTCACTGTAGGGGCGGCCTCGTCACTGTAGGGGCGGCCTCGTCACTGTAGGGGCGCCCTCGTCACTGTAGGTGCGGCCTCGTCACTGTAGAGGCGGCCTCGTCACTGTAGGGGCGGCCTCGTCACTGTAGAGGCTGCCTCGTCACTGTAGGTGCGGCCACGTCACTGCGGGGGCGCCCTCGTCACTGTAGGGGCGGTCTCGTCACTGTAGGGGCGGCCTCGTCACTGTATGGGCGGCCTCGTCATTGTAGGGGCGGCCTCGTCACTGTAGGGCGGCCTCGTCACTGTAGGGGCGGCTTCGTCACTGTAGGGGCTGCCTCGTCACTGTAGGAGCGGCCTCGTCACTGTAGGTGCGGCCTCGTCACTGTAGGGGCACCCTCGTCACTGTAGGGGCGGTTTCGTCACTGTAGGGGCGGCCTCGTCACTGTAGGGGCGGCCTCGTCACTGTGGGGGCGGCCTCGTCACTGTAGAGGCGCCCTCGTCATTGTAGGGGCGGCCTCGTCACTGTAGGGGCGGCCTCGTCACTGTGGGCGTGGCCTCGTCACTGTGGGCGTGGCCTCGTCACTGTGGGGGTGGCCTCGTCACTGTGGGGGCGGCCTCGTCACTGTAGGGGCGGCCTCGTCACTGTCGGGGCGGCCTCGTCATTGTCGGGGTGGCCTCGTCACTGTAGGGGCACACTCGTCTCTGTAGGGGCGGCCTCGAAATTGTAGGGGCACTCTCGTCACTGTATGGGCGCCCGCGTCACTGTAGAGGCGGCCTCGTCACTGTAGGGGCGGCCTCGTCACTGTAGAGGCGGCTTCGTCACTGTAGGGGCACCCTCGTCACTGTAGGGGCACCCTTGTCACTGTAAGGGCGGCCTCGTCACTGTAGGGGCGCCCTCGTTACTGTAAGGGCGCCCTCGTCACTGTAGGGGTGCCCTCTATGTAGAGGCGGTCTCGTCACTGTAGGGGCGGCCTCGTCACTGTAGGGGCGCTCTCGTCTCTGTAGAGGCGGCCTCGTCACTGTAGAAGCGCCCTCGTCACTGTAGGGGCGCCCTCGTCACTGTAGGGGCGGCCTCGTCACTGTAGAGGCGCCCTCGACACTGTAGGGGCGCCGTCGTCACTGTAGGGGCGGCCTCGTCACTGTAGGGGCGGCCTCGTCACTGTCGGGGCGGCCTCGACACTGTGGGGGCGCCCTCGTCACTGTGGGGGCGGCCTCGTCATTGTGGGGGCGGCCTCGTCACTGTAGGGGCGCCCTCGTCACTGTAGGGGCGGCCTCGT